AGTGTAAAGATTGCAAATCCGTGAAACAAAATCTAATAGTGAAAATAATCAGATCGACAAAGGAAACGATGGAATTATTGACGTCTATGGTGTTTGTATTATAACACACGCTCCAAAAGAATGAGAGAATAACAGTGTACTATCTGTCTCGATCTGTTTCAAAGATTTGCGGTGTACGCTGTAGACAAATTAGTCTAGTATTAACTTTTTGAGTGYTAATCAACACTAGAATCTTATTTGATTCAAAGTGTGAATATAATATAATTTTTTAACCGTTTTTGAGCAGCTGTGCTTTAGGRCYTACGATAWTSCAGCTGTATTACATCACATACTCATGGACAAATCCAGTATTCTTCATTGTGGGCCGAGTCCTTACAAACAAAATTTWAACTATGACGTCAAACRACGTCATCATGACGTCATTACGGAGAAACGAGAAAACTTAATTAAGCCTAAACGAATCTTCATAATCAACAACGGTTAGATCTCTATTTTTCTAAAAAAAWTTAAAAATCTATTTGGCTTTGAAAGGAGGGCATCGTGTGACCCTTCTCGAAGAAACGCCCCTATAAACTACACCCTGTACGATGCAAACTACGTGAACAACTTTTAAACGTCAAATATTACATGTACAGACATGCATGATAATTRTGAGAAGAAACAGAAGACTGWAGTAATTTGCWTTGGACCCGAGACGGAGTTTGATACGAACCTACATAAAACAGACCTACTAGGGGTCGCAGAGAGATATCTCSGCGATAAAGGCAATTCCTAGAGTTTCTTTTGATGGTACACGAAGGAAAGAGTCGCGAGGGATGAAGCACTAACCCTTTATTCTCTGATTACTAGTTATTAGTTGGAGATTATAGGTTTTATAAACAGTTTTAAAAATAATTACCAAACTAACAAAGTGATGATAAAAGACCCGTGAAATAGATATTACACTAATACACCTTAGTACGCTCTAACTGCATTGTATCAGTTGTGTCTATTTGACTATCACACTTTAATAGTCAAGTATTGTTTCACAGGTTTAATAATCTCCCTCAATTATTAAACTTTAATAGAGAAATTATATTTCAAAGGTTTAATGACCTCATTCTAAATTCGATGCTTTTCTTTTGAGTTCATATTTTAGTAACTAAACAGTAAAGAATCCACCATACCTTATTAGTGGATAATTCCCTAGTTTTCCTCGCTTTCTAACCACGATTTCTTGATTTTGTTCCACTGGTTTCAAGGCTTTATGCTGCAGTTCCTAAAACAGAGAAAATTAATTAAGTTCCGTCAACTACAATTGTAGACCGATTAGAGTGAGGTCATAAAACCCGTGAACCAAAATCTAACTGTTTAGGCGTGATAGTCAAGCAGACGCAAAAGAAAACAACGAAAATAAAGAGCACGAATTAAGGTGTATTAGTGTAATATTTGTTTCACGGATTTTTGGACCTCAYTCTTAACTGCATAAAATTGTGAATGATTAGAGAGACCTATAATTGGTGTTAAATTCTCAATATATGTTCCTTTTCGTCTCGTGTTTAAAATAATATTGACTCTAGAGTGATCGCACTGTACAAACTAAATAGTGCTATTTAGTTGTATTTAGTAAATCGTGCATGCGGTATGCAATTTAATTGAATTAATACGAATGAAGCATTCAATACCGTCTTGCTTCAGGTCCACTTTTAGTACAGAGTTTGTACAGTAGCACGGTTAAAGTTCGATCTCTCTAGGTAAATTAAATTTTGATACAAATGGAACATTCAATACCGTCTTGCTTCAGGTCCACTTTTTACAAATTCGTCGTACTACTTAGATTTTGTACAGTTGCACGGTTTAAGTGCGATCACTCTAATTTCACTGTTTTCCATTGTTTAATTAGCACTATTTATCACTGAATATAGTGCTAAACATTGCAGACCTTTCATGTCTGCACGCCATGCATGCAACTTCGAAAAGAAATAATTCAATACATCTCCAAGTACTTACACAGAAACAAGACTCGAAAAACTTCYATAATTGTATCCATTAAGACTCTTAAAGAAGCTTCGAGGAATTAGCTACATCATATACCCTAGAACGCAATTATCATCCGCATTGAATGCCATGTCGAAATACTATTGACCCTGTGTTCGATCATCTTATCATCCTCTAAACCACACGCTCTTAATTAAAACACGCAAGACTTAATCCGTAACAAAGTGTAGCGCGTTTTGAAAGGTGATTGACACAGGGCGAAAAGAGTACACCGCGACGACCACGCTAGTCGATACCGTGAGCACGGAAATGCCCTTGGGCTAAAAATCGATACTTGCAAACGCCGCACAYCCAATAATGGCTTAATAAATTGCTAGAAAATGTGCAAAGGATTTAAGTGTGTAACAAACAGCCWGAAGGATTTGGAACATATGTTTTAGTGTATCGAGAAAAGCCTCCTTGATTTAAGAGCTATTCGTAGAACGACTGAGATAAGCTAAGCCTGAAAGAAATGAAATAACTTGAATAACTAAWAAGATACCTGAGTGATCACGCGAAGGAAAAGCTCTTGCATAAAGATATTGAACCCTGSAAGCGTTTTTTGCACTCTGAACGTATCTTGTAACAACATTTCAAGCTGAAAAACAAAGAACAAAGAGTTTAACAATTTAAGAGCTTCTCAAGAGCGCCTTGCGTCAAAATCGTCTCAGGTTTTTGGATTATTTAGTGAAAGACAGCCCAATTTCCTACCTACTAATGACCATCTGACTATCTTTCTAAGATTTTTTGAGATAAAACAAGAATTTCACATTAGTTTGAGCCCTAAAGTTGTTTACGTGTGTWCATAGAACAATTTTTCAGATCTTATCAAYGATTTTTYKCMAGAGTTCAAGAACTTTGGGCCTAATTTACACAAGTGCGTGCTCCGTTTTCACTCGTCGCACGCTGTTTAAGGCTATCGCAAACATAAATGACGCTACAAAAATGATAACAATTTAGTTTTACAGCCTTTCAATAACAAAAAAATATATAGAAAATTGGATCATACGAGTTGTGAGATTGATTATAGCGAAAGATGTTTTAGAAAAATACAGTTCTTTGGCCTTGTGCAACGATTTACCAATAACGATTTGTGCTAGACGTTTGCCAGGGTGGAAATCAAGCCATGTCACAACAAAGGAAACCTTTGTCGTGCAATTGACGGGCCAGTTTCTTTTAGACAGATAACAAAGGTACAGAGTTCTATACCTTATCTAAACATGTACCTTGGGTGTGGTCAAGGGGTACTAGTAATACACCCCATTTAAAAATCGAAATGATCTAAATGTTTCACGATTCGGGGTAAAATATGTAATAAATAAATCAAATTTTAATAAATGATAAACGATAAATAAACAAGTAGAGTRAATTCATCAAACCCGTGAAACAAACCTTGGCTATTATACTGTGATGTCAAATAGACACAAAAAAGGAATCGATGCAATTAGAACGTACAAATGTGACTATCTATAATTTCACGGTTTGTTTGTGTTTTTTTGTTTGTTGGTAAGTAGTAAGGAGAGTATCACYTAAAAACTAAAAGCGAAAAGATTCTTATCGAACAATACTTCAGCTACATACTGCCCAGCMTCCTTACAAACGATTTTTCAACCGAGCTCTTCCCCCTCGGGGCTTATTGAGCAGTTTGATCTACAGAGAAAACTTTAAGAATTGATGGCTATGTTAATAAGGCGGTGAAGTAGAGAAGCTTGTTATACAAGGGTAATGATATCGCCATTACACTAACACACTACTATAGGATCCATGCTAAGCTCTTTATCTAAAGATTAGCGTCCTAAATACAGTACAGATTATACTTGTGTAGGATTGTTGACATTGAACCAAATGGCTTATTGCTAATCCTAATGATAAACGTCGTAATGTTAACAAATAAGCCTGGTCTATCGTAATCGCAATCATAAGAAATCTCGTACCTAGAGCCCGCGTACCTTGGGCTGCGGCGAAGAAAAAAAAATGTCATGCGCATTGGTAAGGCTAATTACCCAAAGTTACTTTTTCCATTGATGAAACACAGGCAGTCCATCCTTTATTACTTTTCCTTTTACAATATAGAAACGAATGCACGTTTACCGGTGAAATAAAAAACACTGTTGAACCAATCAGACTGCGCGCAAAATGTACTTGCCAAGCATGCGCAGTACAGTAAATGATATGGAGTCTAAGAAAGATATTTCCAGGACATTTACACCGGCTTCCTCTGTTTTGCCAGACATGTGAATACAGATGTCTATGCTCCCATATTATGGGATTGAATTGAACATAATACAGCCCTAATCATGTTCGTAGTAAATATGGCTAACCTTCTGTTGTCCATTCCTCCAACTCCCTAAATCGACCAAGTAAGCTCTTGTAGTATACGACCAGGACTTTTTGCCTGAAAAATAATAAAGATTCATTAGGTAAACCAGCCATGGTCCTCATAAAATACCCAATAGTTTAATTTTGTCAGATAGAAATTTTACCTCTCCTTTTTGTCTTTTCACACCAAGCCTATGGTTCAAACACATCAAATAGGGAAATCTCCTTTACATCCGTGTTGGGCTCCCTGTTTCCTATGAATGTGGATATCGACAGTCTTCCCCATTTCTTGCTATACGTCATAAGGATTTCTGCTCTTTGCATCCCCCAGATTTAGACACACTGCTGATGCTTTCTCTGCGACACAGTCCGCATGTTCAGGGGGTGTACACACAAACTTATATCACAATTTTGACGCTCTTGTACTATGATTACTTCTTGTCTTTCCATGGAATGCAGATGTTTCTTGTTGCTGTTAAATGCTTTGAACTTCCTACACTGTAGGAAAGTTTGGCTTTCTTCATGATGTTGATTATTGCAGCCGTCTAACCTCAAAAGAAGGGCGTGAAGACGAGGCTGCATTCTCGTCTGTGAAATCTCAAGTTGAATTTGGGATATCAATGATACAAGAATGAGTTGATAATTGTTAAGCTTTTTTAAAACTTTTAAATCATTTAATGTTCAATTATCAACGACATGCAAAATTATTTGAACATTTACAATCTAACGAGGGAATGTTTAACGATTGTTAATAATATAAAAATACTTATAGTGGAATTTGGTCACATATTAATTGGAAAAATACTCTGGAGACATTAAGTACATCTGAATTTGAGCTTATAAGAGCTCAACTGAATGCTCGTCTTGTGCAACTGTTGACTCATGTTCCCAAACCAGCAGTGATGAAAAACAAATATTTTCTTACTCCCAAAGTGTCTTGAATCAACAATTGACGACTTTCGAGATGCGCGGGCGCTTTCAAAAATACCACAGACGCACGAATGAAATAGAGGTATGTTAGGGTAATAACAAAGTATTCATGCGAACGCCTGCCATATTTTTGAACGCAAATGCTAATCTTGAAATCGTCTTCTGACAAGGGTCTATTATGAGCGCCTTTACGCATGCGTGGTGGCCTCAGTTTTCTAGAGGCACAACCCACATGACTAGAGAAGACAAGCTGTTCCATTGCCGTTAAACATGTACAATGTTGATCGTGTTCTTGCTTACTAGCAATACATTTAGTAAACCATTTTCGCCTCAACAATGCAAACACCGTTATATTGTATTAAGTGTTTGATGTGGATAATGTTTTTGAAGTCTTTTTGGTTTTTAAGGCAAGTATCCCTTTGCCTTTTTCTTCAACATGTTTTCCTTTCTTTTTCGGTGGCTCGTCGCCTTCACTTCCTGATTCATTCTGAAGAAAAACGGAGTCTTGAATTTACCTCATATTTCACATTTGTGTTCGATGACAAAATTTTCGGTGAATCGGTGCTCAAGAGTGTAGTTAACGGTGGTGCTTCTACGTTGAAAACGATATTATTGAAAAGCGCATCAAGCCGTACAAACAGAACTCGGTTCAAGCAAGCGATGTTACACATATTATCAATTATAGAATACATATAACAAAGCTATTTAAAAAAATCGTTGTGTACTGAACACTTTGATACCATGCTGCAAGACCGAAATCCATTGTTGCAAGTAAGTAACGTTAAAAAAGGGCAAATTTCAACTAAATTGTTTTTCCAGAGTGCAGAGTTGGCATAGTCACTCCGAAACAGCAAACTCCCCTTTTATCGGTAATAAGATGACAAGCAATGTATTCCGACTTTGGAATACACCAATTTCAGTACTAATCGTTTTCGACATAGCTGTACACAAATGATTGTCACTCAAGAGTCACAACATAGAATACCTCTTCCTCAATTTCACTCATTTCATCTCTCAGCGCAGCCTCCAAAGTAGCTCCATTGATACGGAAATCTCTTGCTGTACTCCGCTTGAAGTGCTGCATCAAGTCAATCTGAAAACCATCAAATGTCAGTATTGTGCAGTCAAGAAAATCGGGAGGTTGTTATACATACTTTAGATTTCTTCGTGAGCTGAATGAGGAACTTTTCATAATGTTCAATGGCGTAAATCAGATTTGGCATAGACTTCATTTCTTTCATCACCTTTGCCTGTAACAAATTACAACATAAATTGTGTTGACTTTCGTACTTCATACTGGAAAAAAATCGCGCGCTTTAAAGTTTGTAAATTTGATGTAAATATGATGTTAGTGTCCAAAATTCTGTAAATTTGATGTAAATGATTTCCATTAAATTTACAGAATTTTGGACACTTACATCATATTTACATCAAATTTACAACATTTAAAGTGCGCGATTTTTTCCAGTGATATACATAAAAACGAACAGTTCCTATATACTGGACCGTGAGTCAGCCAATCAAAACGTGCGCTTTCCTTATATACTGGACCGTGAAACAGCCAATTAAGACGTGCGCTTTCGTATATACTGAACCGTGAATCAGCCAATCAAGGCGTGCGCTTTCCTATATACTGGAGCGTGAATCATCCAATCAAGACGTGCGCTTTTCTTCATACTGGACCGTGAATCAGCCAATCAAGACGTGCGCTTTCCTATATACTGGACCGTGAATCAGCCAATCAAG